GCTTGGGAGTGACAGACAGAGAAAGAGACCAACACAGAGGCACACAGCTCCCAGCAGGTAAGTCTGTGTAGGGGGAAAGGCAGGGTAAGAGTAAAGGGGTGGGGTGGAGTGGGGGGACAGACTGAGGCCCCCATGGTGATGGTGGGAGTCAGACAGGGACAGGGTTTGGGGTGAGTGGAGCTGGGGCGGGTCGTGGGAAAGAGCCATGGGAGGCTTGTCCAGGGGCTCTGGGATGGGCGTGGCTCCCCACCATTGTGCACACACTGGGAGAGGCATGGGGGCACTTGCCCCCCACCAGATTTGTGTGCAGGGTGGAGGCAGGCTGCCCGCTGGGCTCTGCACAATGCCATATCCTTCCGCACTGACTGCGCCACGTCCCCTGCCCACCTGGCAGCAGAGGCACAACATGGCGGCGCATGTGGTCCCTCCCACCCCTGGCCTGGGCCTGGGCCTGGGCCTGTCCAGGGGCACATGGGGGCTCCTGCTGCTGCACACACCCTGGGGGAGCCATGGGGGGCACATGCCTCCCTGATTTGGACATGGGACAGAGGCAGGCTTCCCACTGCGCGCTGGGTTCTGTGACTCATTACTGGAGCCTTGGGTGTTACATGCGACACCATGCTGTGCCTTCTGCCACGGGCTGGGCAGGGGATGCAGTACAGTCACCATATGAAAAGCACATGAAAAGCATTGCGCGCAGCTCCTGAGGCAGGAGGTCGCAGAGCCCAGCACACAGCAGGTAGCACACCGCCACCCTATCCACAAGTCCAGGGGGCACATACCCCACATGCCTCCCCTGGGGTGTGTGCAGTAGCAGGAGCCCCCCGTGCCCCTGGACGAGCTGCCTCGGCTCTATGGTAATAAATTTAAGCCAGCTCCTAACTTGACTAAGAAAACAGACAGAGACCAGAGATGCTGATATTGCTTATTTCAGTTAAATGTTCTGAGATAAGGAATCCTGCATGCATTGTTTTGTCTTGATATATTACCCTGTGTATGGATGTTAAGTTTATTTTTCTCTCTGAGAAACCAGAAACTGATAACTATTTCTATAAGCACAATGTTTCACTCTGCTTTAAGTAAACTGCCTGTATGTCTGTGTGTGTGTGTTAGATCAGTGATTTACTGTCCAAGGTCATATTTTTTTCTCTCTCTGTCTTAAGTATAAATATGCTTGTAAACTTATAGAGTTCAAGGATTCCTTTGAAACAGACAAGTGGGTGATTCCCCTTGTTGCATGCAATTCTCCCTGTGATCACTGTATAGCCCTAAATAAAGAAAAGCTGGCTCTGTCAGTTCTGATTCAACCACAACGCAAAGTTTGATTTCTTCCACAGCTCCAACAGTCCCACCACCTGCCCCAGGGCCCCACTCACCTCAGCCCCTTCCCTGCCTCACTCCCTCCCTCACCACAGGGACCTGGATCTGCCCCCCACTCTCCCTTCCCTCCTCCATGCCCTTTCCCCCCCGCAACACACTTACCTGCTGAGCGCTGCTCCACATGCAGCTGGACTATGTGCGCACATGTGCCCCTCTCCCCCCAGCCTTCGTACCACTTGTGGTACGTGTACCATAGTTTGGGAGCCGCTGACCTAAACCATTTTCCTGTCTCTTGTAGAGATTTTCTTTTCATTTGTATCATACAGCAACAGGAGAGAGCAGGGCATTTTAAAAAACCAGGACTGCTATTTATTTGCATTGTACAGACCTGGACGAGAACAGGGGGCAACTGCAACACTTGACATTAAATGTACTTTAAATTAAGATATAAAGTTGACAGTGGCCCTCAAAGTCTAAAGGCTGTATTTTCGATTTCAGACTTCATTCATGCTTAAAAATCACAGTATGATAGAAAATATCAAGCCTTCGTCTTTTGGGGGGGGGGGGGGTTAATCTCTTCGTTTTTA